AGAAAGCTCACATCTTGTTTCTTAATTGAAAAGCCCCGTGGATGTTTCGGCTAAAACTCCTTCTCAAGCATTTTCTACATCATATCCCAAACCTCTTACGATCCTAATGCTCTTGCATCTCACCTTAACCCGAGTGACATCTCTGACACGTTTCGTCCGGAATCGCTGTTTGTTTCTAGGATTTTCTTAGCTTGAATATCTTTCTGGGGACTGCTTTGTCCCCAGACACCTGTGCTGTTTCCTCTTTCTTAACGTCTTGCGTTTCAGTTGCCTTAGTAACTCCGAGTTTCAGCTACATCTTGATGCCTAATTGCTCTCACTCGTCTGCAACACGTCTAAACTTCATTCTGCCCCGTGTCTTTCTTGGTTACCGGTTTTCCCTTTTCAAGACAGGGTAGAAATGGTCGAAAACCCTCAGCCTCGCTGTGGGTCTGGTTCATCGTCAGGTGTTTGGAGAGAGAGCTCCCCGCCTGGAACCACGTGAGCTGAAGACGGTCACTGTGGTACTTTGTTGCCAGGATGCCCCTCAGTGTGCAGGTGGGCCTGGTAACTAGGTCGCTTGTTGTGCTCTGTGATGCTAAGGCCCCTCACCTGCCCGGAGACTGCCTGTGCTCACGTCACTTTTCGTATCTGCAGGCCCTTCAGAAGCATTGCTGAATTAATGATTTCATCTTGCACTGCATACTTCCCAGAGTGCTTTCGTGTGCACTGGCTCATTGCATGTGAGTCTTGGACATTAAACAACTTCTTTTATTCATCTCGTTCATCCAATAAACGTGTCTGCTGACTGCATCTGCCACGTGCCAGATGCACCAGATACGGGTGATGAAGCTGAGAACTGACCATGGTTTGCTTCCTTGGTGGTCGTCTCCTTCCTGAGGGAGTGAAGCCTGTGAGTCCCCGGGAGCAGAGCGTTTCAGGGGAAACAGCACGTGCAAAGGGCCCGAGGCGGGAGTGTGCTGCTGTGTTGGAAACCCAGGTTGCGGCTCCGTATGAGAATCTAAATGCCTGGTGATCTGAGGTGGAGCAGAGGTGGTGATGCTAGCCCTGGGGAGCGGCTACAAATACAGATTGTCATCAGCAGAGAGGTCTGACTGCACAATAAATGTTATGCGCTTGAATCATCCCTAAACCATCTCCCCTCCCCAACCATCCATGGAAAAATTGTCTTCCATGAAACCAGTCCCTGGTGCCAAAAAGGTTGGGGACCACTGCCTTGTATGATCCAATGCTCAGCCACAAGTTCAGTTAGAGCAGGAGTTCAACGGGGCTGAGACTATGTTCGAAATGTGCACACTTGGAATATCGTCCGTTCCTGCCCGGTCCTACAGCGGGCTCTGGTGTCCGCGCCCAGGCCCTGCTGTGGGGACAGAGGAGCAGTGGCCTTTGTGGCTCATCATTTCTTGTTAGATTTGCTTATTCTCATATCGAAATCACCGATTTGTGTCACAACCCAGGTAACCATGGCGAGAATTTGGGAAGACAGGTCAGAAATTTGTTGGTGACAGAAAGAAGTCAGGCTGCTGGGAAGACTCACCGCATACTCGCCTGACAGAGGCCGCAGGGCGTGTCCGGTGGGAACACAGGTCACAGGTCCCCCGCGAGGGACCCCCAAGGACGTCTGTGTAGGCGCAGACGCACTGCCCCATACGGGTGCCCATGGCTTCCGCTTGGCACCGCATTAGCGGGGGGTTTCTGTTGCGTTTTGGAGTTTTTGTTTTAACCAAGAGTGGGAAGTGACAAAAGTATCTTCCAAACAAACCGGACTGCGACGCGAGGCGGCGGGAGCGTGGGGCGCGGGGCTGTTCTCAGGAAGACGCCTTTCCCCACCCGCAAACCTGCCCCTCGGCGCCCAGGGCTACGCAGCCTGGCAGCCGCCTGAGGGCTCCTCCGAGTGCAACAATTGCCTGCTATTTCTAAAGGCATTAAGAAATGACAAAGCATTTTTTTTTTAAAAGAAAAGTGTGTTTCCACTTGTATCTCTTAAAAATACCTGCGCAAAATCAACTAAATCACGCTGAATCGAACAGAAAACTAATCACGACCTCGAGGAGCACGTCCCAAACTCCCCACTCGTTTCCGGGTAGCAGGTTGTGGGTAGGCTCCGGATAAAGAGCTCAGAACCTTAGGACCGAAGGGAGGACAGAGAACCTCGCGCGAGCGTGCGGAAGGTTTGTCCCGCGGGGCTCCCGGGCGCCGACCGCTGCTGCCGTCAGCGCGAGGGGCTCACGGTTTCTAAGGCAGCTGCTCCTCTGCTGCACATCCCTCCTCGGCCTCCCCGAGATCTGAGGCTCACGGACTCCCGTTTGTTTGTCCTGTGCTGCCCCAGCCCTCTGCGGTCTCGGCTGCAAGTGTGATCACCCAAGGGTCGTTTTTTAAAGAAAAAACTAATGTGCAGCCTCCTCCCGCCGAAGGCAGATTCTTACCCTAGGAACCGCCCTGGCAGCTTGTTACTGTGGACGGTGCGTGATCTCCACGGGATTCTGAGGTGCGGCCAGGTGAACCGACATTCATTCATTCATCCGGCACACACTGAGTGAGCGTCGGGTTGCAGCAGTCCCGCCCACAGCCCTCTCTGCTTTAGGTGGCACAGGCCAAATTCCTGCAATCGTTTTTACAGCACTTGTTCCTGAGAACCTCACCCCCAGGCCGTGCTGGACATGCTCCTGTTTATAACATTTGTTGCTCCTCTGTGTGTGGTTTGGAGCCAGACTGGGCTCCTGCCCCCGGGTGTGTGGAGGAGAGAGGACCCTCCCCCGGCCCCATCTTTACCCCCGAGGCTGTGGCTGAGGATGCTTTTGTTTGATCCAAACCTTGGGCTGTGTGCCTCACAATGAGCTTGTGGTCCCCTAGGAGCCTGGGGTTTCTTTCATGGTACAGCTCTTCAGCCAGACCTTTCTCTTTTTGCACTTTCTGTTTTTCCTTATGGGATTTCATTTTGGAGCCTTTGCTCCATCTTGTTGAAAGCTTCTGACTCTGAGCGCTGATGGGGAAAGTTTGGCTTTTCCTCCTAGCCCAGCATCAGCCCTGGTCTGACAAGCTCGTTCAGTCCCGTTTCTCCGTCTAAGTCACCAATACGAACGATGGAAGGGTGTGGGAGGACGGGCACTGAGCATGTCCCAGAGCTTTCCTCCTTCTGGGTCAGAGTCACCGGTCCCAGGCAGGACATTGGGTCAGCTCCCAGCTGACCTCAGGATACGTTCTCCTTCTGGTCCTCAAGACTGTTGGGAGAGACAAGGCCATGCCTTCTTCTGTCCCCTACGTTACCAGCTTAGCAAAATCCTTGGAAAAATGGAAATTGTGTTACACAGTTGATAGGTTTTTATACTACTGGAGCTCTTTTTTTTTTTTGGTCAAACCTGGGATAAAACACTTTGGAACTGTTTGTGTTTTATAAAGCAGAACACCAAGGTGCACAGAATTTATCTCCTCTGCTTTCTGAGCAGGTCAGATGCAAGGCGTGTTTGATCTGTGTTGACGTCTCTACAAACCACCTCCTTGGCTGTTCAGTCCCGTTTAAGTCTCTCAAGTGTCCATTGTGTTTGAAAAGCGAAGCGCACGTCAGGCATTTAGGAATCATCGCGCGGGGTGCTGAGCTGGCCTGGGTGTGGCTCGCGGACATGCGCGTCTCTGCCGGGGTCTCTGCGTTCTGGTATCGCCGTGGGGAGCCCGAAACACAGTAACACCAACATACCTGACCTGAGCTTAGGAACCTGGAGTGAAAGGCGGTTACTAGCTCATCTGGCTTTGGCTTTTCTGACCTTTCCCGCCTGGCGCATCCTTAGTCCCAGGAGAGAACCCAGGTAGGCACCTGCGCCGTGGAGGGGCTGGCGCGTGTCCCTCTCAGGTGGCCGGGGCTCCAGGCCGGCTTCTCTTCTCAGGGCAGCAGGTGTCCGAGCACACAGCGCTGAGCATCAGGCCAGGTGAGGATCCGGAACGGCACAGACTCCGAATGCCCTTGGCAGGCTTTTTCCCTGCGGAAAGAAGGATGTGGTGACATTGTCGGTAGTTTGTACAGCTGACTTACGGTGGCCGAAATTGTATGATAAAATATTTAAGATGTTTGGCTGCATAAAGAAAATGTCATGTGTGGGTGAAACTGTCAGTTATAGAGATTAAAACTGAAAAATCTTAAAACGTCGAGCCCTCTTAATTTACCCATTAGATAGGAAATTGTCGTGGTGAAGAGTTGAAAAATTTAAAACCAAATAAAAGTCCTTACACGAGACTATATATGCAGTTGTTAAAGGATTTTTTTTTTTTTTTTTGAGAAAGAGTCTCACTGTGTTGCCCCGGCTAGAGTGCCGTGGCGTCATCCTAGCTCACAGAAACCTCAAACTCCTGGGCTCAAGCGATTCTCCTGCCTCAGCCTCCCGAGTAGCTGGGACTACAGGCATGTGCCACCATGCCCGGCTAATTTTTTCTATATATTTTTAGTTGTCCAATTAATTTCTTTCTATTTTTAGTAGAGACAGGGGTCTCGCTCTTGCTCAGGCTGGTTTCGAACTCCTGAGCTCAAACAATCCGCCTGCCTCGGCCTCCCAGAGAGCTAGGATTACAGACGTGAGCCACCGCGCCCGGCCCTAAAGGATTTCTTTGTGGTGATTCTGATAACGCCTTTTTTGGGATTGGGAGGAAAGAAAGTTGTATTCCCAAGACACTTCTTAGAATTAAGAGGGCTTAACTGACATCATCCCTTTCTTCTTTTTTAAAAGAACCTCAATAATGACTCCCGAGCCTTCTTCCTGTGTAATTTTATAGTGTGGCACTTTCACCTTTCCTTAACCTTCAAGAAAGTGGTGCCATTTCCTTCCCGCCCCCATCTCCCCTCCTCTCCTCCTTGTCAGCCTCAAGTTTAATTGAGGATGTCGCCGATGAACGTGATGTTTGCAATCACCTGTTCACTGCTCACTCCCTGTTAACAGGGGGAGAGCTCCCTGTTTGTAAGAGCTCAGCGTGTGATGTCACTAACTTGACCGTTCATGGGTCCACAACTCCAGCCATTGTGCAGAACTGGCAGCTGGCCCACAGCGTCCCTGTGGTCACCAAGCCCGGGCCAGGCACAGTGCTGTTGACCTGTGCCCCGGGCGAGACCTTCTCACCTTCCCCTGGAAACCCGGAGAGGCTAGATGGTCAGGGGCCCCTTATCGTTTATGGAGTTAAAGAAATTATACCCATTCTTTATGGAAGTAAATAATGGTCTTTAGGAGGAAGCAAAATATAGGGGGACAGAACTGGGAAAAATCCTTATTTTAAACACTCAGGAGAGGAAGTCAGGCAAGAAGAGCTTGTTCTGCTGAGAGCGTGTGGGAAGGTGCATCCCCCGGGAATCTGATCCCCAAGGGCTGGTCTGTAGGAGCGCACAGAGGACGCAGAGGCAGCAGGTCGCTGTTACACGTGCTCTGGTCAGCTGGGGTCCCCTGGGGTCCCCGCGCTCAGCCGGCCGCCCCTGGGTGTGGGGGAGTCTCCACCGGAGGGCGGAGAGCGGCTGCTTCCTCACCTGGTCCCTCCCGTGTCGCGGACCCCATCGGCCTACGCTGGAACCGGGAGCAGCTGCGCTCCTGCACGTGGGAGAGGAAAGGGAGGGAGATGCAGGGACGCGCCCATCGAAGTGCTTAAAAATGCGAACCCAGAGCAGCGTCACAGCGGAGGGAAGCCCTTCCCCGTGGGTCCAGGGGTAGATTTTTGCTACATGCATTTTGCCGCAATAAAAAGAGAAAGGGGACTGATTTTTTATGTGCAGTGCCCTGTTTCTGTGTTTTTAGGGGTGTGTGTGTGTGTGTGTGTGTGTGTGTGTGTACGCTGCGGCCCAGGGACTCCGAATGATGAAAGTGCACAGCCTGCTGACCCGGGCTCGAGGAAGCCGTGTGGACACGCTTGTCTGCATGGGCAGAGTGTGGCACCGCCAGCTCGGACGCAGTCAGGGGGACCAGCCTGAGCATCTTTGCGTTTTCAAACCCTCTCCAGGAAGGTCCTGTTTAGAGAGGACCTGGGGAAGGTGAGCGCTGCTCGCCTGCGGTATCGTCTGGCCAAGGGCAGCTTTGCTCTGTCCTGCCACGTGTGCGTGCATACGTGTGTGTGCGCGTAGCCGGCACCGCGGCTCCGGTCTGGCCGAGCCTGGCTGGCTCCTGTGGGGCGTGGGCCTCGGTACCTGCCGGGCGCAGGCACGCGTGTCGGAAACATGGCGTGTCCTCTGTGTGCGGTGACTTCCCACCTCCAGGCGCGCCCTCAGCGTGGTGGTCAGGGTCCAGTGCGGGTGTCTCCGTGAAGCCCCATCACGCTTGACACTCGAGCTCTCTTCCCTTGGTTTCGTCCTAGCAGAGTCCGCCGTGGATGCTGCAGCGAACGGGGCGTGTGCCCTGCGCACTTCAGACCCGCGCCGGCCGTGGGAAGTGACCCGCCGCGGGCACAGGGGTTGCGAGGCCCACCTTGAGCTTGGTCACCGCCCTCATCTTCCAGATGGAGGGAGAAGTGCAGGAAAGGAACAAACCTGAGCAAACCCGAGCAGAAATGGCCCTGGGGAGCCAAGAGCAAGGGGAGCTGAGGGCATCACCGCGCCTTGGTTTTGGGCTGACCTGGCGGGGATGAGACGTTGACAGTGTCAGGACAGCGCTCTGTGCAGCCGCTCCACGTGGCAGTAGTTTGTAGCGCGACTGAAGGCCTGGGAGGCCCTTCCAGAGGCGGTGGGCCTGGGGGGCCGGGAGGAGAGGAGAGGGGATGGGCCGCCTCGGCTCCGCCTCTCTGCACACGAGGCCCTGTCGGTGGGGACGGGACTGCCATGGTGGCCCCAGGAGGATGACCTCAGCTTCCTCTTCCCAGTGGGCGAAGATCCCTGTGGCCCCAGCGTGTCTCCCAAGTCATCCACGTTCCTCCTTCTTGGTGGTCTTCCCAAAGTTAGCAGACCCCTGGAAAGCAGCTCAGTCTGTCTTCCTGTACCGACACATGGGAAGCCCTGGGAGGGCCGCGGTCCCATCTCTCCTGCCCTCCCCGTGGACGGGGCGCTGGTCCAGGGTCTGTTCGGCAGGCCTCTGCGAGTTTTGTGGGCTGCTGCCCACTGGTTACCTGGGTAACTCACTGTTGCATCATCTGCTCTTAGTTTATTACACGGTGTCCTGGGAGTTCTGTTGTGATGTTTTATGATACTTTCTGGGAGCATAATATTTGGGGACTTTGGCAGTTGTGCTTTGACAGACCCCACAGGTGAGCAGTGTCGGATCACACGGACGCATTGCCTCCACCTGTGAATCCGGCTAGTAGTCCCGGCTCGTGTGTTCGTAGACCTTCATCCCGTTAATACGGGAAAAACCAGATCTCTCTCCCTGCCCCCAGTACTCTCTTTGAGTATTTAAAAATGAATTTAACATACTGAGCAGCAGTCTGAATTAAATAAAGGCTAAGACTTCCTATTTCCCATATTTAATTCCGGGTTAAATACATATTTTTGTCCATGGAGCTTTCTAGAGCTGTCCAGTTTGCTTCCTGAGTGACACCAGTGGCCACGTACAACAGGCAGATAGACCTGACTTTGTGTAAACAGTAGCTTTTCGGAGCCAGTAGGAGTCAATTTATCCATCCTTTGTCTCAGCTCCTCACCAGTTCTGCTGTCCACTCTGTACTGGCGACGTTTTTTACATGGGTACGATCTGTCAAAATTGCCTGGGAGGGCTCCTCACCTGCCTCCTAACTGAAAACCAGCATTGGGGGCCGGGCTCCCTCGGATCCAGGGTAAGGGCCTTTGGGGGCAGGTGCTCTCCCAGCCTGGTGCTGAACCCTTCGGAATAGATTTTTTTTAACCAGTTTGAGGGGATTCCTAAGAATTATCTCCAAAATATACTTAGAACATGTTTTAAAGAACATTGCGAGTAAGTAGATACCTACATTCCAGTGAATGTTAAAAATCTCAGAAAATCTTATTTAAAAACCAGTGACATGACCTTCTCATAAGTGAACACGTGACATTTTAATCTGCCCCACCATGATGTGGCTGTGGGACGAAGGACCACCCAGGGCTTGTGGATGACACAGAACCCCACATCCTGTAGTGCGGAGAGTTTTAAGATACCTGGAAACACCTGTACACCTTCTAAATTTTGGTTTCTAGATGCGAATGAATCCAAGATCGGAAGTGCGGACTTACCTTGTGTTAAACCAAGCCGGGTCCACTTGCAGTGTAGTCTCCTGCGCCTCTGGAGAAGCTTTACAGCCTCAGAGCCCAGCCCTCACCTTGGCGGTGGTCACCGCCATGTGGCATTCCTTAGGTGAGGGGGGACAGGTAGGACCACATGACACCTCCCAGTGGCCGAGAACTAGCCCAGGCCACGGCAGAAACACTCCCGCAGGCCCTGCCCCCAGGAGCTCCAAGCTGGGGCTGCGCCAGGGCTCACTGTCTCTGGGCAGCCCATGGGCGACGGCAGCGGATGAGCAGCTTGACTGCCCCTCGGGACGCACAGGTCTCTGAAGGAAACTTCTGGCGTTTCGGTTTGGGACTTGAAAATCGGATCTCATGGGAGGTTCATGGGCAGCCTTGGCAGATGCTGGCATCCCTTGGACAGAGCCAGCTGTTTCCAGACCTGCCTCTGCGCCCGCGGGCTACACCTAAATTCCCCAGTTTCCTCACCCTGGAATGATCGGGGTGATGGTGAAGGTCCCCCAAGTAGCCTTAAATGGAAAGTTTTTTGAAAGTCATGTAAACCTCATACTGTTATAAACAATTAAGTTCTTTTCCTGATTTCTAATACAACTAGTCACTTTGTTAACTAGCACCAGTGTAGTTGCACAGAGCTAGACGACCAGCTATTGTATTTTTTCCCTACCATCTTTTGACTCATTTTAACCAACTGCAATAAAAGAAGCCCCGACCACTACAGCAGCCTCCTGCTCTTGTTTGGGGAGCTCCTGACAGATGCATTGAGGGCAAACGAACCCCAGAATTCCCTTGTTCTGCTGCAGACCGGTACGTCGTCCCAGTGCATCGTGGACGTACCCCTCTGCGGTCGTTAGATGTCCTGCCTCTGCTGTGTTCTGACGAGAAATGGTAACGTCCCCTTTTACCTTTTGCCTCCTCCAGGGGGACGGCCGCGCCACTGCTGCTTTTCCGAAGAGGCGGCCTCGTCTGCGCTCTCCAACGGAGACCAGAGTCACAAGCTTGGAAATAGCTCGTCAGAAAAAGACGCCATCGGAGTGGGGGTCGCAGCGTCCATGTCCGTACTTGAAAACAGTAGCAGAGAGACCTGCAAAAGACAAGAGCAACCCAGGTTTTCCATTGACTTAAAGATGCCAGCATTTCACCCCAAGCAGGAGGTGCCCGGCCCCGGCGACGGTGCGGACTTCCCTTCCAGCACGGAAGGGGCGGGCCTGCAGCTCTGGGCGGAGAGCAAGGCGAGTCACCCTAAAGAAAAGCTGTCCGATTTGCACAACAAGGAGCATTCTGGGGGAGGCAGGAGGGCACCGGCCCCAGACCTCATCCCGCTAGATCTAAGCGCAAGGTCGACGCGGGATGACCCCAGCTACAAGGAGATGGCATCCTCCCTGCAGGCGGCTCTGGTCATTCACCCGTGTCCTTACTGCGACCACAAGACCTACTACCCGGAGGTTCTGTGGATGCACAAACGCATCTGGCACAGGGTCAGCTGCAACTCCATGGCCCCCCCGTGGATTCAGCCCAACGGTTACAAAAGCATAAGAAACAACTTGGTTTTCCTTTCGCGGAGCGGACGCACGGGCCCCCCGCCTGCCCTCGGGGGCAAGGAGTGCCAGCCTCTGCTCCTTGCTCGGTTCACCCGCACTCAGGTGCCAGGGGGGGTGCCGGGGTCCAAGAGCAGCTCTTCTCCCCTGGGAGTGAGCACGAAAGCCGCTAGCATGCCTAAGAATAAGGAGAGCCATTCCGGGGGCCCCTGTGCTCTGTGGGCTCCCGGCCCCGACGGGTATCGACAGACCAAGCCCGGCCACGGCCAGGAGCAGAGCAGCGCCGCCGCGCAGCGGCCGCCTCCGAAGCCCCGGCAGGAGGCCAGCTGCAAACCGGTGCCTGCCCCTGGCAGCGGGGGCTTCAGCAGAAGTGCTACCCCCACGCCCACCGTCATAACTCGGGCCGGTGCCCAGCCCTCGGCCAACAGCAAGCCGGCAGAGAAGTGCGGGGTGCCCCTGCTGGGGGCCGGCTTTGCCCCCGCAAATAAGCACAGCGCCCCAGACTCTCTGAAAGCCAAATTCAGCCCTCAGCCTCAGGGTCAGCCTCCCGCGAAAGGCGAAGGGGGCCCTCCTCTACCTCCCCGCGAGCCCCCCTTGAAGGCGGCCCAGGAGCTGAGGACACTGGCCACCTGCGCTGCCGCGGGGTCCAGAGGGGATGCGGCCTTGCAGGCTCAGCCCGGCGTGGGCGCGGCTCCTCCCGTCCTGCACTCCATCAAACAGGAGCCGACGGCCGAAGGACACGAGAAGCGCCTGGACATCCTCAACATCTTTAAGACGTACATTCCAAAGGACTTTGCTACCCTCTACCAGGGCTGGGGCGTCGGCAGCCCTGGGCTGGAGCACAGAGGTAAGACGCGTGGGCTTTCTCCTCCCTGGGCTGCGTGAGCACCGGGTCCCCCAGAAGCCTCCGGGGCCTCCCTGAGGTCTCGGGTGCCGCCCGCCCGCCTGCTGAGAGGCCCGTCCCACGGCAGAGCTACCCTGCTGGGGACGCCTGCCTGGGTCAGTGGCCGCCTGGCCTCGCCGGCCCTGGAGGAGCGCGGCAAGCGCTGCGGGGCGTCCCCCCGCCGCTGTTAATTCGGGAACCCAGTTACGCTTCCTCCACACTGAAATTGGACAGGAGCAGGCAGACTTCATGGCACTTTACTTTTTTTGGTCATTTTAAACAAAGAGTTAGCAGATGTTCATTGTCCTTGTCTCTAAAAAGACAAAAATGTCCATTTGAGGTTATTTTAAGTTTTATTTTTGTACATACATAATTTAA